CATATATTTATGTGTGTGTGTGTGTATGTATGTATGTATATACTGTCATCCAAATCGAAATCGAAGAACACTTATCCCTTATGATGCCACTTGCTTGTAGTGTAGTTTTTCAAACTGTGTGTGCCCAAGCCCATGGGTAAAGTCCATATTCACCAACAAGCCTCTTCTCCAGGTAGAGATCCAGAGGGAGGCATTGATAATCTGAGTAAGGTATTCTGGTTCTGGTTCAGTAAATCAGGCTTTGTGTGGCCTCTAACTCAGAGCCAATTTGCTAAAAGAGACTCTGCCAGGGATAAATTAGCATATTGTCTGGGGTACTTGACTCCTTTCACTAAAATAAAGGGGCAATCTGTGGCGAGCCACAAAACAAAGCTGCTAATTAAGTATTTAAACTAACTCTCACATGTGGTTATAAACTATGGGTAGTTACTGAAATACTGTAAATTAACAAAACCATGACAATAAGTTGCTAAACTAAGCTTCTTCCACTGAGTGGCTGAACTTTCCACCAGGGCGAGGAGCTCAAATTAGAGCCACTGCTCCTCTGCATTGAATAAAGGCAGTTGTTGTAGTTTTGGGATCTGGTAAAGATGCTTCAGGGGAGGCAATACAAACATGTCCCAGAGATTATATGGAAATATGTGTCATAGATGGTTGGTTTGGAGTCCCCCAAGGTGAGCTGGAGGAAGAAGCTGAGGAGAGGGAGACTGAACATTTCAGGATGGATGGATTTCTGCATGAATGGATGGATAGATAGATGGATGGATGGATGGATGGATGGATGGATGGATGGATGGATGGATGGATGGATGGATGGATGGATGGGTGGATGGACATATATACAAGTGCTTACTAACTGCACAGTTTGTCTTTACACCTCAGAGACATTCCAGTGTGTGTACAGTAAGTGTGAGCAGTATGTTTGTGTATAGAGTAATTGCGTGCATACAGTCAGTGAGTGTATGCAATTATTGTGTGTATATAGTATGTTTGTATGCATTAAGTGTGTGTATACAGTATGTGTGCGCATACAGTCAGCATGTGTAAACAACTAGTGTGTTTATGTGTGATGCATGCTGACCATCCCCAGTTTTCATTCATGCAACTCTCATTTTAACATCAGCACCTGCTCATTTTGTTCTGTGTCAGAACTTCCAGACATCTATGCACAAACATACCATTTTCCACTTTAAATGACACAAATAAAAAGATTAAATTAGTCTGAGTAAAACATTGCTTCGCGTCTGAACAACGGACGTACCAAACTCTGCAACACAAACGTTCAGAAACACGAGAAAAGATAAGTGAGCTGCTTTCATCACCTCATCATTTCTTTGGCACTTTAAATTGTGAGTTGTTCGCTGAATACTCTCTCGTGGACATTTCACTGGTGTTAGACATCAAATGAAGACATCATTTAACTTTGGCAGAACTCATCTCGACTCATTGCTAACGACCAAAGCTAAAATTAGAGTAACTAGCCTGTCAACGCAGTTATGACCTACTGGGGCAGGTTGGACGAATGATAGTGTAGTAGAGCTCACAAGCACATAATCAAACTCACACACATGCACAAACACACATTTCACCAACACACACACATAAACGCACATAGGACTTTCTTACTACATTACAATTATTCAGCAAGCTCCGATATAAAATGTACTCATGAAACATTTTAGAAATATTATTGAAGAGAAGAAACCATGAAGTCAACTACATAATCCCAAATAATGAGAGCTACTAAAGTATCATTAGAGAGCATATTTGAATAATGTGTTTATTATAGCTTTAAAGGCAACACCGACAGTGTCCACTAATACACGTGTTTTTTTATTTTACAAGTCTTGTTAACAACATAAAAAGTAGTTTTAAATTCCCAGAGGAGCCAAAAAAAAAAAAAAAACCACTTACACACATGCAGTATCACTTGTTACATGAGCCCAGCGGTCTGGTTTTGTTTTCCCGTGGTGACATCCATTAAAGTCCTGCTGAGTCTGACCCTCCACCCTCAGACAGCCACATTAGCACCTGGCCCATTGGTTACAACAATACACCTGCCTGCATTATTCAGGCCGACTCTACTAATGAGGAAACCTTATCACACAAATACATAAACCCTCCTGGGTTTGCACACACATATACACACACACGTGCATTCCCCCCCCCCCCCCACACACACACACACACAAACACAGAGAGACGCATAGAACATTATATTTACTTTGCTATATATATTTTCTTTTGTCTAGCTAAATCCAGCTATCGTGAGGTTTTGATGTATTATATAGTCTTTAAATTCTCAGTGTTTGCATTCTACGTTCAGTACATTGGTTTTAGTAAATGTCGTGCATGCAGTAAGCCTCTGAACTCTTTTAACAGTTCTACTTTTGCCTGTCAAACAGCTGTCAGCGTTCCCCCTTCAACCTGCTGTTTCACCACATCTTCCACACCCAACACTTTCATGCAAGAGTCAGTTTACATTAACCTCAATCTCCCCACCCCTCCCCATCATGTTTCATCCAGTCTCTCGAGCTGTCAGTCTGACTTCCACCTCATTTTGGTTTCCTCACCCAGCTTTCTGAATATAGCACCCTTGTGAACTCGGTCAGCGTTTTTCAAGCGTATACCACCGTCCGAAAACCAACACAGAGACAAAAGGAAGAGAAAGCACCCAGGGTCGTGCTGTGAGAGAGGAGGATGTTTTCAGAGCAGGCATCGATGCACCTATATTTCAGAAGTTGTTGATGAGATGAAGGAGGCTGAGCACAAAGTGAGGCAAGAGGCACGAGAGGAGAAAAATGGCCTATAGTAAACAGCATGGAAAAGGGTGACAGAGGGAGAGGGAGAGCAGAATCGACAGCAGCATTATCGCTCTGCGTCCTGATTCAAACACCACAAAAAAATGCTCCTCTCCGACTGGGCTCATTGGCTGCACCTCTGGCCAATCGCAGCTTGGAATGCAAGGTGCCTTTAGGTTATACCAACCCCAAAATATGAGAGGAAGACAGAGAGAGGCGTGCTGTAGTGCAGAGGTTCCTCCTGTGAAGCTTCATCACTCCGGTGTTCCTCCTGCTGGAGTGGATACATCACAGTGAATAAATTACAGGCTTCATCGCAGTCGATTAAGTGCATATTTTTGTTGCAACCTTGGCTGCTGGGTTTCTCCTCTGGCAACAGCTGGTCGATCCGTGTGTCGAGATCGCAGGCTGAGGAAGCTTTTTTTTGTGTGTGGACCAGGAGATTAACAGTAGGGGAACCAAGTGAAAGTTTTGATGCTCATTCTCTTTTTTCCACGTTGAGAACCAGAAATGTGATCGCAAGATTTGAGTCACCCCAGTAGCTGATCGAAGAGTAGAGGAGTCAAGCCAGAAACAGAAGTGGAAAGATACAGGATGATCCTGGGTAAGAGAATGAGAAGTTGTTGTTTCTGCACTTTACTCGTATTGATCTAATTGATTCGCTTTTCACAGTTTCACACTCTTGTCAAGGTAGTCACTCAGTTTGTCCACAAAGAATCTGGTTGTCATATTTTATCTCAGACAATATGCTTTCTTCAGCAAATATGACGGAAGCTTGAAGTCTGGAAAATCTGGATGATGGGAGCAGAACTTGACATGTATGGTCAGCCTGAAATGTCAAAAGGAAATATGGAAATCAAAGTAATAGACAAAGAAGAAGATGGCCATCTTTGTTATCCACAGTAATACCCCCAAAGCTCAGCACATTTCTGTTTTCAAGCATAAATGAACTGAGAGAGAAGTATTTTTCGCCTCCAGTGGGGCACAACACTAGGCAGCACAATGTATTGACATTTTTTTGTGATCGCAATATCAATATCTAATAGCAATATTGCAAAAGACTGTAGAGCTACAATAAATACCAAGTTGCATTCCAGTAATGTTGTTGGTCAGTCAGATGGACTCTCGTTGCTCTTGATGACGTCCAAGTGCACAGAAAGTGTTGTGAGCATCATGATACCAGAACATGCTGTTTTTTCCAACCAATATTGTTGTTGCAAATTCAAAAATATCACGATCACACATTTTCTCTAATATTGTGAAACCCTTAACAAAGGCACAGCTTTTTGTATGTTTTCTTTAACAATCCACAACTTAAAATCTAGATGGGTTAACGTCTGAAAGGAAGCACTGTTGCCTTTGAGCTAGCTCAGGATGGGCGACTGCGACGAAACGAAGACTCAACGCAATCTGCTGGTTTCCTTCATTCCTTACTAATTGGCATTTTTACATGAATGTTTCTGTTCAGTGCCCTGAGATGACTTCTGTTGTGACTTGATGCTATATAAATAAACTGAATTGAATTGAATTGAAGACTGCAAATCATCTGCTTCATTAATTAGCCTTTTTTTTTTTTTTACAAGCGTGAGCATTTTCTGTTTTCTCATCCGTTCATTTGATTATTTTGTTCTGGGTTTATAGCTTTATTAGCCAGTTTTTATCAGTTGTTTTACCTTCCTGCAGTCAGTGTTCGTGACTTCAACAGACTGGATCAGCTCAGTGCAGGCAGCGGCAGTAACATAAGAACACGACTGGTTTTATTGTACAAAATACAACCACAATTAAAAGACAGAAGCCTTACAGAGGACCTTCTTTTACTGATGAAAGCTTAATAAAAACAACTATGTAAGGTAATAACAATTAATTTGCATTCAAATGCAAATTAGGTGCGGGTCTGCTTAAGCATTTTATGTCTCTGGTTTAACAATGATGATGTTTAATGTTCTGCAGAGTGTTACAGTAGCCGCTTCATGTCTTGCATCTATTTTTATTACAAGGTTAACATTTTCTCATTTTTGCACTGTGATGTCATCACATGCCGTAGGTTTTACAATGAGTCACCTTGTTCTTTTCAACGTCCTTTCTGTTTATTAATATGATTGCCGGCAAGCAGCGTTACAGTGGATTTGATTAACTGCAGTGACCTTGTTCCACGTACATCGACTAAATATTTGCTGCTCTAACCTCTGCTCGGGCCTCCCTGTGATCTAAGCGAGAGCTTGTGGTAATCCTTTTCCCACTGCGGAGGATTTAACTCTACATGCATTATAACCCCCCACCCCTCCAAACATACAGACACATAAACAGAACAGCATGAGCTGATGAGATTTTTGTAAACTGCATTAGCTTCGCTTTAGATAGAGAGGTAGATCCAGGGACCGAAATAGGACAATGGCATTGATGACAAAGACAAACGAGGAGTGAAAGCCTCCACTTTCTTCTTCATCTAGCCCAGTTTTTTGAATATTTTGTTACTTCATGCACATCCTCCATTGACTACTGAAAGAACACAGTGAACATCTGAGACTGAGAGAAATGTGCTAAAGCTGGCTCCCCTCGATGTAGAGCAGTGTAGGTTTAGTAACTCTTGTGTAATTTTTGTGATGAATATTTCAGACCCAGGGGTTTTTATTTATTCAAAAGTGAGCCAAGGCTTCCTCTAGTCTGATGCAAAGACCGCACTCAGCACTATCTAAAAGTTCATCGCTTGCATCAACCGATGTCGCACAGACACACAGACAGACGAATGTGGCTATCTGGCTGCACAAACGCAGACACACATGTAGTTTCAAGCCAAATTTTCCCATATAAAATAGCCCTATGAAAGAATCACAGATACATGTTGTCCCTGATAAACAAGATGACCTTTACATTTGAGCAATTCAATGAAGGGTGAGAAGTATTGACATTTAAAATGGAGAAACAGACCCGTCACTCTGTGCGTTTCACAAAGTTCAGCCATCTCGGAAAGCTGAAACTGTGAAACAAGCTGTTTGAAGTCAGATAAGAGAAGGTTAAATCACAAGATATGTCTTTACAATCTGTAAAAACAAGATGAACAGAGCCGCTGTGACGTCACACAGGAAACATGGCATGTGTGTTGTGATGTTTTTCTTGTGAAACAACGTGATTTTATTTTTTTACTTCACGTGAACAGATTAGTTCAAGTGTCAAGAAATAATCCTCACCATATACTTCTGTTATATCTGGCTAACATTTGCAAACTTTTCACCCATTTAGAGTCTATTTTTGTTGGATAATTTAATTATCCTATCATCATCTCATTAATTGAATAAGCCACAATGAATGCAAGAAGATAATTTCAACCCAGGTGTACTTCTTGCATTGAAAACAGGCTTACATCAATGTCATATGAAGCTCTGGTCCAAAGTCTGCCCACAGACAGAGTTAGAAAAAGCTTGAACACCCATTATCAGACGCAGAGGCAAGATCAAGACGACCTCTGCTTCACAGCTCACAGTTTTAGAAGGCATCAGAAGTTATCAGCTATCAATTATCAATTATCAGGCTCCTCTCTGAGTAGACAAAAAGACTCTCTTGACGTCACACACATGGTTCTATATTAATTTAACATCAGTAAGTGAAAACATCCATGACCTTTACATTTTTATTGTCTTGTTTCCACTTTACTCTTATATTTAAAAAAAAAATATCACCCACCATGAAAGGCAGGTGATCATGTAATTGCTTGTATTCGTGTTAGCAAAATATCTCATGAACTATCAGACAGACGCTAATGCAACTCTCAGGAAGTACAGTAATCGTTTGCCATTACAAATGATTAACTTTTAAAGTCAGCCCAATTCAAAATGGCCGTCACAGCTAACTGAGATTAACAAACTCAACATGGGCTTTAATTTATTTAATTATGCAGATTTTGAGCTGAGCTATGTTGCTGTCGTTGCTGAGAGTAATCCCCATCACATACTCTGAGTATGCTAACAGATTATATTGTTTAAAGCTTTAGCATGCAAAACAGTGGGCAATATGTATATCTTCAAGGAATGTTGCAAGTTATGAGTTATTTGTTAGTGGAAGGACCTAGGACACATTTATGGTTAAGAAACTTTCGCATTTGATGGAAGGGAATCAGATTACACTTATAGTCTCATATTCAGGATTATTTAAACTGAATTTAATTTATTCAGTCGGATCATAATTTGTTATTTCCAGCAAAGACATGATTTGCAGTCCAGCCTGTCAGGCACGTGGCTAACTGGACACCAAAAATGACTTTAAGCACAGTGCAGTTGCTCATTTTGTTTGGTGCAGCCTGCTGTCACTGTGCGAGCTTCTGAGAAACCTTGCGTTGTCACTGCAAAAACACTTGTCAACACCATTTTCTGCTCGCTGACTCTGACAACATGTCAAGTGGAGCTGACCTACAAGAGCCGTGTTTGCGCACCTGTAAAAACTGACGAAATAAAAGGGTGTTGGTGGTGGCTGTCAGGTGGAACTTCAGTCTCATCACTTCTTATGATAAAGATGTGAAAAGATGGAGGTCTAGTTAATACAATTATATGTACTCTTCTAAGTAGCTAAAAGGGGAAACAATCAGGTAACATAGCTGAAAACCATCACACTTATGGTTATTTTTATCTTTTATTCCATGATGCATCCCAACAAGAAACCTTAGATCTAGTCATGGAAGAAAGTGAAGTATCCAACATTTAGTTTTGAGATAGTTATAGTAAAAATCAAAAGTAAAAAAGAAAAACTTACTGCAAAAAGCACTCCTGTCCATCATTAGTTTGTGGGAAGAATGCCAAAAGTAGCAGCAAGGGACGAGATTTGAGAATTACACGTCCTTGTAGTTAGTAGCTTAATATTTTCAAGTTATGCAGACCACAGCTGAACTGCTGCCTGACTCGTTTCTCTGTGTAACCCCTGCTTGTTGCTTTATGACCTCAATACCTTTGGATTCCAGTCAGTGACAAGAATACAGCCTGTAATTTCGGCTTTTATGTGGAAAAGGAGCTATATATGAAGCTTACTGCACTCACTTCTATGAAGTAAAGTATTTATTACCCTTGTGTGTTCTTACAGCATCCCATGCCATTGCTTTGTGCTCTTTTGCACGTTCTTTTTTTTTTTGTATGCCCTTTGTAATTTACACTCCCAGCTTTCTATAGGTTTGTTTCTGCAGTTGTCTGCTGTTCTGCCTCCCAGCAGGTGTGTAAATGGTTTTACAAAAGAAATAATAATGTGTGGCTGCTAGTTATGTTGACAAAGTGGATCTCCTGATGGCTTTCTCTTTGCCCTGAGTGTCTTTGTGATGTAGAGCCCTCTGTTTGCCTTAAACTGTGAAACATGTCAGCAGTTTAATGAGAGCAGGAGAGTTAGCAGGATGATCTAACTCTTCACTACAGCGCTGGAGCCTGAGAAGAAACATAAGACAGCAGGACGAATCCAAGCTTCTTTCTTAAACAAAGACCTGCAGCTAGCTTCTGCATCCTCATAACTTGAAAAAAATGTCAAACGTGGAAAGGGTGATTTTTAAGAGTCAAGTTACTTGGTAAGCAGCACAGTGGCTCAGCTGGTAGAGTTGTTGTCTCTCAGCAAGAAGGTTGTTGGATTGAATTC